CCGTCTATCCCAACCCCTCTTGTCCTTCCGTTTAATATCTTTGAACGTGAATTTTTTTTTTACTCCATTGAATTCAACGACAAACCTCTTTGTACGGTGAAGATCGATAAAGGAGATACGGGATAAAATTGCTCGAATAAATAAAATGCTTGAAGAAAAAAAACGTATGAGAAAAGTGAGTATCGGCTGAGCATTAAAAATTCATTGCCGGATATGAAATATTTTCAACCTGTTTACCATCAATCGCGCGAGACACGGCCATGCTTGCGGCAGTCAAATTTACGTACTCATTTCCCGAATACGTGTCGAATGATATTTCTTATGCTTATAATAACAATAACAACGACACAAGATATATTTCTTTCGCGAGATACCTGCTGCTGATTCTCTCGCTGCGTTGTCAGTCGCGCCTCGACGCATTGACGCGTCTCTAGAAACGCCTGTCGCTGGGCTAATTCTCGCGGATGATGCGTCAAGGCGCCAGCGACGTTCGTACCTCCGACTACGACCATCGAGCTTAGGAGCTGAAACGAAGAAATTTATCGTTAAATTAAATATCCACCGTTTAAACCATAGATTATGTGCATATATCAATTTTTAAGGTAAAATACGATATATGAAATATTTTCAATATAAATTTATCTACGACTACGACCATCGAGCTTAGGAGCTGAAACGAAGAAATTTATCTTTAAATTAAATATCCACCGCTTAAACCATGGAGTACGTGCATATATTAATTTTTAAGGTAAAATACGATATATGAAATATTGTCATAATAAATTTGTCGTAAAAAATAATATCCACGGTTTCAACGATAGAGTATGTGCATATATTAACGTTAAGGTACAATACGATATATGAAATATTAATATAATTTAAACGAACGGAGACTACCTTGACGCGATGACCTTTTCGTCAACCACCCTGTATATATTTGCTACGTAACCTATGGATTTACTGATATTTCATAACTTCCAACTTGCAATCCACGGTACGCTATCTGTAGGCGACACGTTCATCCCGGGGTGCAAATATAAATTCCTGCCCCTTTGGCAATTTACGTGTAGTAACGTTCAGCGAAGGGGACGATGAGATTTTCTGTCTTGTACGTAAACCTTGTGCACTTCTATTTCTCCTGCGTATTGTCCGTCGTAAACCGGAAGAGGGGATATCTCCTTGCACCCTTATACTTGGCTCGAGCTTTACCCTGTATACGTGTCTTCGTGTCTTTCTCGCTGCTAGTGTTTTCGGTATATAGATATACAGTGTGTTTGTTCTGTGAGGTGACTCTTTCATTTAAGGCTAGTAAAACAATGTTTATCTTTAGACGAGCCTTGTACGTATATGTATTACACGATCGAATAACTACGACGTCCATCGGTATATGTGAGATTGGGATCGTCCCCTAATCGCAGCCCTAATTCGATTAGGTCTTTTGGCAATTTCGAGATTATCCCATATGGGGGTAGAAATGAAAATGTGATTGTTCGGTCAGTTTGCGATTTGCGATTATATTTTACCTTCGTCGACCGAGGGGTGCCTGTTATCTGCAGGCTTGACCTTGGTGGATAAGGGTTGATGTAAATTTGAGGGTGAGTAGACGATCGATAAAAAAAATTCGGAATCCAAGCCACTTTTTTGAAAGTCGAAATTTTCGACTGGTATATTTTTTTAACGATTTATTTTTTTTGTATTTGTGTATTGTTTTTTTTGTACTTTTTTTTTTAATCACAGGCATCATTGCTCGTTGTTAAATCTCCGGGGAGGTTTTCATTCACAGTGGAGTCTCTTGTGGCTTACAAATGCTTTCTTGAGCCTCTGAGTACTGTGGCCGGGTAAAATGCATCCGGCTAACTTTTACATTTTGAGGTATCCGCACTCAAAGAATTTATGCCGAGGACACGCGTAAGCTATTTGAATTACCAATCAGTTTTTGTGGAATGGTCGTGCCGGTTTTGACTCGTGACCCCCGGGGGGGAAGGGGGGGTGAACTCCCGACCCCCGACAGTCGGCATTACATAAGTTGGGAAAATGTAAACTATACGAGACTCCACTGTAATAAGGTCTTCCTGCGAGATCAAACGGATCCGTTTGCTTTCCCATTGGTTTTGGGAGATAAAAGAGGCAACGTTCGAGATAAAGAAATTCGAACGTCATTTATTGCCGATAAACTTTTTCTTTTGCTTCCTTTTAAAAGCTATTTCAAAGAACAATAATGCACTTTACGGTCGCGATCGATAAGGAAGATTCCGACATATGCATTGTATCGAAAGGTACGAAATAAAATAATAACGAAGATAGCCCTTGTACAATTTGACAAAACTGTGTTGGTACGCGGAGGCGGGAAATTCGAAATTTGAAATAAAAAAGAAGTTATGTGACGTAAAAAAAGTTTTTGGTGAAAAATGACGGATTTTTGGTGAAATTTTGTAGGATATATATTTCAAAAATTTTCAGGATTTTTCTATGATACACATTGCTATGACGATCTCAAATGACTCTGATCGTACAGATTTTAAAGAGGAAGGAATTTTCTGAATTTTGTATTAACAAACCGAATATTCATGAGGTTCACCGTCTGTTGTTAAGGTTAGATTTAAGGGGTGGAAATCTCTATGGAGACTACCCCATAAATCGGAGAATAAATTAGGACACTTTCCACCGGTCTTCTCTCAGGACAAATTGCTAGACTGTCAGGGAGAGTTTGAAAATTCTAAAAATAAATCTTCGCGAAAAGATAGGAATTCGAATTTGAGAAAAATAAATTAGGAATTTCACGAACCGAGCTAGAAAATGACTTTCGGCAGTCAAAATGAAAATAAATCATCCTACGAAAACCTTTAACGTAACAAAAGGTCAAAAACTTTTTTAATTTTCTTAAAGCTCACAACGCCATCTTGAATTCACCCTAGTCCGTTTAGACCTTACGCTGCGTTTCATCTATGAACCAACCATATACGTGAACTTTGTTTTATCTATAAAAAAAGTTAGATAAAAAAGTTGAAGGGGTAGTTTTTTGAAGAGGAGACAAAAATAAAACGGATCTTTTTTAATAATCCAAATTGCACGACTTGTCCCAAATGATGAAAAAAAAGGAAACCATAACCCCTCCCGTATTCCCAAAACAATCCTGGAATCCACTAAGCATTGTCTTACATTTTAACCTAAAGAGGGACACAGCACGGAGCCAGGGGGGTCTGGAAACGTCCGTATACAGTAGGGGTATCCATGAAAACTTGAACCCAGAGATGAATCAAGGCAGAGAGTTTCCGGTGGGACGTCACGGTAGAATATCATTACTTAACACCCAAGGGTATCTATCACTTCACGACTACGGACCACGTTGATCTGTCCCATTCGCTAGAAACAGTTCCAGGATGATCCCTGTGATTGTCTGAGGGAAGGACCAAGAAACCAGCCCTAATGCAGCGACCCTAAAAGTATTTACGTGATCATCCACCGGGAACCTTAAATAAAATTTCTCATTGCCCAAAGAGCTCAGGGAGTAAACTAAACAGCCACTGGGTACATAATAGTAGTATACAAAAAAAAAAAAAAATTTTGCAAAAACAAATTTCTTCATGAAACAAATCCGAAGAAATCATACGATCGCGTCTCAAACATCCATCATATGTCCCAGTGGGACGTTTTAAGGATGCTTTAACGATTTCCATTTCTGTTATTGCACTGCAAAATCCTTGTTTCTCGGCATAAAATTGTAGGTTAAGAAATTCAAAATCCACAGACTTCCCAAGTGACTCTTATGTATAGAAGCCCCTTTAGATGCCTCGAGATGACGTTACATCGATTAAACGTATTTCAATTAGGTCACCCTATAGGTTATCGTAGCTACAACCTGTGAATCTAATTACGTCGGATGTCTCCTGTCGGGGAGTTAATATCGGTACACCCTGTACATATCGCCTCTTTGATCCGGTCTCTGTGGTCCAGAATGGGATGCATTGGCGACCGTTTAATGCGTTGACTTGCATCCTATAATGGATTTTCTCATGTCGTCCCTCTATGTATAAATAGGCGGACATCCCATGAATGAGATAAAATAGTATACAGGTATATTATACATCGCTATATATATATATACATATATATAATACCTTGATTGATATTCATACCTATTTGATACATGTTGACATAAAAGAACCTCATTTACTTAAATCCTGAATATTCCATGAAAGTGGTATACTTGTCAAAAGCTAACCAAAAACCCGTCATCAGTAACGCATGTAAACCGCATCAGTCGCGCAAGGCTTATTTCACTCGTTTGAAGAAAAAAAAATTGTTTCACAGCAGACTAAATCCTTTAGTATCGAAAACCGTGCACGTTGTCGGAATTAATGATATTTTTGGAAATTATTTGTATTACTACAAAAAAAAAAAAATCAGTAATTTAATTGCCGACTGAGCCGCGTTACTGGCAGTTGGCGATTGCTTTGTTTACTTGGGATTAACGAGATAAGAATCCTTATCAGATTTACATAGCGTATATATACGTATATGATATTTTATACACCCGTTATATAACCCAAGGGCTTTTACGACAATTTTCGATCCTCTGTATTTCTGACGTCGGGTCGGGCCTGTAGCGAACTTACGGGAATATAACGTCGATCGGCTTTGATTAATGACCCGGTTGAATCGAACGCTCGTAAAACTCAAATTGCAATCGTGATGTTTGCTGGGTATAAGATTAAAAGGGTTATCAGAGTTAAGGGGGTTGCTTGAGAGGGATGTAAAAAAAAATAACGATATAATTGTCGATATATTTATATGTTATATATAAGTGTTGGTGTCATTGGGTAATATGTTTATCGGGGAGAAACGACCCCTTTGATAAGTCACCTTTGATAGTTAAGGTTCGTTAAGGAACGCTGACGATTTATAAAAATTCAAAAACAAAAAAAGGAAATCAAAAAATTTTTATTTTTGATAACCAGAGTCTTAGGGTTTTCAAAATTTGCATCGCATTGAGAAAGGATTGAATTAGCCTAAAATCGATCGTTTGTTAGGATTTTTTTTTCCTCTTGTGAGTAACTCAAAAAAACGTGTTCGCAGTTCTCGACCGTTTCAACGAGACCGAGAGACATATATTGCTCAAAGTTTAGCTTCGGTCTTGTTAAGTCGGTGGATTTTCTAACGATCATTCCCGAGGGACATCGACTTCCTTAACGAAAGAGAAACGGAGCGGGATTTTCATTTAATCGAGGTTAAAGTCAACTCGAATTTCACCAGGAGCAGAAAATCCAGAACCAAGATGGAAATTCCATAGGTTTGAAGCGAGGTGAGACCCTACCTTGAAAACTTCGGATAAAGTCTAATTAGATCCGAAAGGGGTAGGAGACGGTACCGAGGTAGCCTGGATGACGGGTGTAAAATAATTAAAGAATAATTTTAAGGACCTCGAGAGCATAAGTCGACCCCTTTCGAATGCTTCCGAGACTGATGATAACGAATCCACTTTACCTTTTCTCGGGACTCCTTTCCTTCTTTGCGCGACTCTCTT